CCAAAATATGCAATTAAAATACAAAACCATTAAATAGGTATGCAAAGTAAAAATAGTATTATTTGATTCAGGAGAACATGAGGTAAATTTGTAACCAGGTTAGCATTCATTTGGATAAATAGAAAAAAAATATGCAATTTCATAAACATCCGAGCTCTAGTAATTACTAATTAGCTAATTTAAATCTTCGGCCAGGTTCTCTAAAATTTGATGACGATTATTGTTTTAAGGTAATCGATGTCCTCAATAGATATCAAATCATTCATATACCTACTCAAACTAATCGCTAATTATTTAAAATTAGATAGGTATTCATAAGAATTATTCTTTTTATATCTAAGATTTGAAAATGTTTTACAAGATTTCTCATATATTTTTCAAACATAAACAAAGAAAAATTTACTGGAGAGTCGAATAAAATTTTTTATGAGCGTTTGAAGTACATATTGTTACGACGTATGATACATTTGTAAATTAACCATTTCTCATCGGACGATTTTCTTATTTTATTGTAAATCTAGAACTGTATATACTTGAAATTTTCACCAAATGTTTATTTTATCATTTTCTATAACTACGTCATGCAATTTTAAAATGTTTTGACTCGTTATAAGTAATTTATATACATTACACATTTTTAGTCTAAGGTTTTTAATGAAAAATAGAACACCTTAGAACCCTGGTCTGTTAGTTACCCGTACATAGTTAGGATTGCCTTCATCAAAACATTTAATAACGTTTGTTTATTTCAAGTAATTTCAATACGTATTAGTGTTCAATACAAAATATTAAACTATACTACCAAAACGCATTAAGGTTACCAAATTATTTTTAAATTATATTTGGTATTATAGTTTGTTGCTTTGTATTAAAATACGTTTAGAAACCAGGAATTTTAGCACACTCTCACCTTTCCTAACTTATTTTTTTCTTTAAATATCGGTAAACATTTCTTTGAAAAACCTTGAAAATTTAATAAGTTCCTATATAAGTTATTATAAAAGTAATTTATTAATGATAAACATACATAGACTCTATTTTTTTTTTATTAGCATTTATAGTAACATTTTTATAGCTAAGGATTGAAAATTGAAGACGAGGCTCCTCATTTGTATTTTATACTGTAACCATAAAAATCTAAAAATCATATAACCATGTCTTCTTTAAATACATTTTATATGCATATATTTTTAGTTCAAATTTGGACAAAATTAGATAAATAAACGGCAGAGTTAATTTTTTGTAATATAAAAATGAGCTCGTTATTCATAGCCTCACGAAATGGCCAATACAGAATTGCACAAACGACAACAGGTTTCAAGTAGTAATCAAAATTAAATTTGTTAAATTGTAAAATTGATATTTTAAGTCGATTATGTTAAAAATCTAATTCAAAATTATAAAACGATAAATCGATATTGTGCATCAATATAAAAATTATAAAATCAATATATTAATATTTTAAATAATGGTGTACCCCCTGCTTATTCCCTTGATTTTAATAGGCCTCGTCACTACATGTTTTTTGTCAAAAACTACTGTTTCTAATTCCAACGATACGTGTCGACAATTTTCACGATTTTCATTCTGAAAAAAATTTCGGAATCTCCATAATATGTACGAGGGAATGACCTAGCTATATTTTTAAGTTTTTTAATTTTTATTGCAATGAATATTGTAAAAAAATTTTAAAAATTTTTCGTGATGATGATATTGCGTATTGACATGTGAGTGCGAGTGCGTGCGTTGATGGGGCTGAAGGAAGCGGTACCCGCGTTGAACCGCCCGCACACTAATATTCACTTACGACTAACACATAGATCCCGGGCGGCGACGAAAAGATTGGAAATTGCCTAAATGTTGCTCCTTAAATATATGGTATAGCGAGGCACCCTAAATTTAAATCATAAAAACAATTATCGATAAATGTAATTAAAATTAAAATCAAACATTTTAATTTTGATTTCAAGCAATGCATTATTGTAAAATCAATACAATTATAGCTCTGCTTAGAATCGACAGAATATAAAATTGTGGTAAATACAAATTAAGCAGGCATGGATAATATTTAATTTTATATTACTTTATTTTAAGAATATATGATAGTAAGTTAGTTGTATTATGTTATTCGATCTAGGACAACAATTTCGCCTTAAGCCCTTAAAACCATTTTGACCATCGCCATTTCGAGCCTCTTCGCCAATAAGAAATGACTGTCAAGATGCATAGGTATATAGGTTATACATATAGGTATAGGTTTATTCAGCTAATGGAAATTTTTTATTTTTACTCTACACTTAACACTCAAGTATACCTACTACTAAAAGTGTTTTTCTAAATGTATTAAAAAATAGTTATCATATTTCGATATCCGGTGTCCGGTGGGTTGTGTAAGAGTTTCTGTGTATAAGGTTTATTCTAACTTCAATAGCGGTTCTTGATTAACAAACTAGGTACTTAAAATAATAATATTATAACAGGTATTTCTTAGCCTATAGTGGACTGCGTACTCTGGCATTTATGTTTGCTCTTCAGTATTAAAATTACACGTGTAGAGCCAATTCGTCGCCATAATGTTTTCGTTATTATAATATTATGGTATAAAATAATTGATAAAATTATAGTGTGTTTAAACTAACGGAGCTAAACGTGATCTGCTTAGTGTAAAATTTGGTTTGTTATGCGCTTGTAAGACGAAGAAAACAAATGTCAGTGGTTATGCACCACCCACTATCTCTCGGTTAACGTTTGAATATTCTCAGTGGTCTTATACATATGGCAACGGCATAATATGCATATTAGGTTTAAATTTTAAATTCTTTCACTTAAATTTAAAGCCGTATAGATAGACCGTCGTTTAGGCCGTTTAGAGTGAACAGTGGGTGCAGTGTAGTATTTTCAACGTTTTTCTGAAGAGGACTTAAATGATTGTCGTTTAAATAGAGGTCATTTCAACGACAATTATTATACATTTATAACATATTATTGATAATTTAGTTCGTTGATAACGTTCATCATGAACACGCGCGTTCACGTTCGCTCTGTTACCTTTATTTCAACTTCTTAATTGCCTTAGAGTTTTTAACGTATATAATATTATGGTTCGTTCTGGTAAAAGTCCACCTTGTACTCCTACGTCATCAAAATTAATATTATCCAATACTTTAAATTCTAATCTTTACCTGGAGAAAAAGACCAAAACGTTTACCACACTTAACCGTTTTGTCGTTACGACGAAACTAACACCACGTTCCATGCAGGCACGTATACAGGGAGGGGGTTCAAGTAGTAATTGAATAAGCAAATAAAACAACATACAATATACCGCAATGTTCCAATTGTCAAGACTATGGACATACGATAAATTACTGCCATCATCCATCTCGATGCGCCCTGTACCAAGGATCGCTTCAGTAGAGCTAAATGCGTCCACTGTTCCGTGGATCATACGGCCAGTTTCAAAGTTAGCTGGTTCTACCAATCCATTCTAAATCTTTACAAAATCAAGTCCTCCAACTCTTACAAAAGTACAAAGCAGATAAAAAAACTTATTCCCCGAATCCCTCCACAACGACTTTCCTCAATGTTTCCCGTCATATGTCTCTGCTACTTCTATGCCACACATTAATCTACAAAATTCAAATCTTATTTTAGCTCTTTTAAAATTCCTCTCCGACTTAACCTCCATTATTAACACATTTCTATCTGCCATATTAATAAACAAATAATCAAGAAATTAACTCCTAATTATCTTTGTCATTAATTACATTAACTCCGTTTCTCTTTCTTATCTGTGTTGATTATAATTTTTATTATTATACTATAATTATGCTCAATTACTTTAAGTATCACTAAAAGCGTTTGTTGCAGAGCGGACTATAATTTCCGATGCTGGTTACTTCGAATACTCAGGTTTAATAACGCATTAATTTAATTAATTATGAACAGTTTAGTTATTAACATTTATATGCGTTTATTTTCGTTACACATAAATGTATATGAAGTCGACACTACACGCTCGATATTTTTTGACGACTAACCATGTAGAATATTTTAAAGTCTGGTCAAAGGACAAAACCGTTGGTCTCTTGTACTGATAAGAATTAAATATTATAATAAATAATCCTATAATATTATCTGGATCGATACGCACGCGACCGTGTTTAGATTTTAATTGTCGACGTAATAACTATAAACTATTACATTTTGTGACCACCGACGACCCATTAATATTGCCGAAAATATTCTTCAATAAAAGTACCCCAGACAAATATATTTGAACCTTGTATTTGATTATAATTTATAAGATTCTCTTTGACTCGGTTTTACGTCTTTTTTTCATAAAACCTGTATGATTCCTAATTTTGAACATTTAGATATATTTGTTAAAAATCGTGTTTTACTTGCTTAACCTTAACATGTATGTAAATAATTATAATAATAAATTATAATAAATGTATAGTTAAATAATTATAATAATAAATTATAATAAATGTATAGTTAAATAATTATAATAATAAATTATAATAAATGTATAGTTAAATAATTATAATAATAAATTATAATAAATGTATAGTTAAATAATTATATGTATTAATAATGTTGAACAAATTATAAAAGTTATAAAAACTGATTCTATTCATTCGAATCGACGTGTCAGGAAAACATTTTTTAAAAACATTTAAAAAAAAGTTTAAACATGTTATTATTTTGATGTAACTACTTAATGTATTCAGTACATTTATACTCTTCTCCAAACCATATTAATATTGATGTGAATTTCATTACAATCGTGATCACAACCTTTAAAAAAACAATAAAATATTTTAAATCGTTCCTATTCACCCCATTTATCACGGGGTATTTATTTTCTATCGCCAGCTCTGTCTCACTAATTCTAACATCTAACACTGTATTTCCTGTTGTCAAACATACATCAGCATATGTTGGCATCGTGTGCAAATATGTCCGTATTGTGCTGTGAATAGAAAATATCCAATAAGTCGTTTGTACACATTTCCAGTTCGAATTCTACCCCCACCACTGCCGCGGCGCCGTATTAGGTCGACAGCGCTGTATTATGAAAATGATTCGGCCGTGTCGTTTATCAGTTTCGTTTGATCCATCCTGCTTTACGGCTGCGTGTAGTTGGTTATAGAGCATGACAAATTTTACTGCTTTTCTGTAATTTTCAAGAAATATCAACAAGATACAACATTAATCCCAAAATACTGAAATTTAGGTATGTAGTATATTATGTAATATTATATAATAAATTATCATTTTATTTACTTAGTCTTAATTATGTATACGATTTTCACAGCAGGGATCTAGTTTATAAGCAATGTCTAAATATTATACGTATTAAATTATATTGATTAGGCGATTGTATTTATTTAAAGTCAACTTTCAGTGATGCACTGAATTGTGACAAAATGTTTTAAGCCATCTAACGTTTTTAAACCCGTTCATTTCTCATTTACTTTTATTTCCTTGTTACGACAAGACCTATAATATTTTTTTTTTAAATAAAATATCGCTTTTCAAAAACCCTTACATTATTCAGTAGGTATGGGATGTGTGTCTCTAACATAAAAATATAATAGCATACACAGTTTTACCGTGTATATTATTTTTTTTCCGAGTTATAGAAGACAATATGGTTCTTCATTTCACTACATTTTGTATTTGTTTTAAAATAATTTTATGAAATCTTGATAGTTATAAATACTTGTACGAAATAATTTAAAACTTAAATGTTGAAAAATTTATCTTGTATCATCGATCGACAACAAAAGTAATTTTATTATATTTTTATTACTGCAGGGTGGTATCATAATTACCTACTGGTAGGTGGTCATTGTCATCTGTATACGAATACATCTATATATTATAATAAACTTATACATAGTTATTAATTTTTTTTGAATTTTGCAATAACATAAATGTATTTATTATTATAGTTATATTGTTTTACCTATTCTAATTATCATTTGCTAATTCATTCTAGTATTATTTGATTGCACTGAAGCAATTTTACTTAAATTACGTACAGGCTGAACTACATTTATATAGTACATAAAACTGTTAGCCGGCCACATACACGTAAAATAAAACATGAATGTTTCAAGTGTTGTTTAGATGTTTTCTGGTATGCCATAACTTACTGTCAGATTTGCATATAATATTATAATATTATACTTCTATAAGTATTAAATATTATAGAATATTATAATGTATAATGTGTTATAGTCGTGCACATACCTACATCGTTTGAGCAAATTTTTAAGACTACTAAACAATTTATTCCTTACTTTTGTAAAATATAAAGGTTATGAACTTAAAATATACCTACCTATCATATTCCAATGTATTCCGGGGTGGCAGTTAAATTTGTTTTAAATGTAGACCAATTTTCAGCATAATGTCCGAAATTTCAAATTTTTTTTTCAAAGAAATTAATCGATGCAAGTGAAAATATTGTTAACGGAAAGCGATCAAATTATTATTAATAACTATATTTAAGTAGTTAACAAGCATTTTTCTTAAATGTATTTTTTTCTTTGTTACATTTATATGAGGATTATCGGCTGCACACCGTACTAGTATTTCCTCTGAAACCATCCCCGTTCAGACGTCATTAATAATGATTAATTCAAACGGATGTCGGTGGTCATCGGCCAAATGGCATTTTACAAAATACTCAGAATAGCACATGTGTTGGGGTACATGTGTGCGGGTTTCCAAACCTTTTCAAGTACCTAATGTGTAATGGGTATAGCCGTATAGGCTATATAGAGTATCTAAGTCAATAGTAAACATGTGTTTAACGAATATATCAGGGTAGATCAGAAGGTACATCAGGTTCCCGACAGGCTTGGAAAAATCATAATCGTAGTTTCATACACAGATAAAAAATTACATACGTTAATTCTTACGTATGAAACGTTTAAGTTTCTACATAATAAATGTACGTTATGTATATAAATTTCTGCATGACAGAAAAAAAAAATTAAGTATTATATTTCTTTTTCGTATATTTTATAACTCAGTATTTTATGCAATATTATAAGTCAAAAATATCACACCTAATACATTTATTCATTTTCATACATTTCAATTAACATTTTATTACTATAAAAAAAATATATAGTTTATACTATGGTTGATTTTTAATGTACATTCATATACTCTTTATAAATTAATATACTATGTTCATATTATATTAATTTATGAAATATAAACATTATATTATATGTGATAATATTTTTTCTTCCTTGTCCCAAGTAGCAACTTTTTTTTTTATTTATTGACATTTTGTAATTTACAATTAATCTCGGCAACTTACACATCTCTTTTATATTCGTGTAGGAACAAACATTTGCACGAATTTTCGTGCGACTTTCAAGTATATACAATTAGAATCTAGGCAGGTACATATTTTGTGATAAGTGAACATCCTCCATTGTGAATTGTATTATAACTGCAACTTATTTATTATATTTTGACGCATTTTTCAATTTGAGCCCGAACGGTTTTGAATATAATACGAGTGCGTTGCTCAGAAAAATGTAATGCAGATACTCCTGAAAGAACAATCGATAAATATCATTTATATTTTTGCATTCTAATAAAAGTGTAGGTTTTACAATAGTTTTGTGTGGTTTATTTTAATCCTATATTCTTATTCAAGTTAAAGGTGCATTTAGCCGTAGGTGTTCAATACAAATTATAGACAATTTCACTGTTGCTGAAACGATTTAAGGTTTTGAAAAATGTCAGCAGTCTTGGCTATTTTTATAAATACACTATCGATATTCGTTAAATAGTTATAAGTATTACAATTATTTCATTATTACTTGCCATATAGGTCAAGATAAGAGAAGAAATACAGATACCAAACACCGAATCTGTGTACACACTGGTCCCAATTTTATAATGTACCTTCATCAGGTCCATCAGGGACATAGTGGTACTGTATCGTAAATTCGTAAATATACAGCTTATAGGTAATAAATAAAAAAAAAGGTTTCTTATGTTTTCATATACGATCGATATATGGAATATAATATTATGGACATTGAACATATTACAATAAAAATGAACTATTATTATTGTTGTCATAGCATATTTTGATAAAAGAAAATAATGTCAATGTGAAATATTGAAAATATCAGTTGTGAGTTGTTGTAGGGTATCAAAGACAACTACAGATACAAGGATAGGAACAACAGTGCACACTTTACATAATAACAAAAAACTTACGGATATTTTAATTTAAATAATAATAAAACATTATTATATATTTACCATATGAATAAATAAACATTTTACATATAATATACAATTACTCTTATATTTAAAAAGAAAAAACGCTGTTCTCAATAGTGGACGGTTTTAAATTCTATTCTTATTTTGAGTGACTAATATAATACTTACAAATTATAATAGCGACTAAGGGTGAATAAAAGGTCGATTTTCGATTCCTCTTTGTTAGAATTTATTGTTAGACCCACTGAGTCTGCTGTGGCCGCTGTCGACAATGGTTATTTGCTTTTGTATGACGAATGATACTATGTCTGCGATATAAAAGATCTTTATCAAAACAAGTCACCCCTGATTGAGATTGTATAGATTTCACTGTAGTATACCATATTGTTCTCTATAGCTCTGTATCGAGTATGGTTTTAATGATACGATTTTATCGTACAGCCACATACGTCCAGTGTTCTAATCGCTATTGCATTGAAACCAAAAAGACTATAATAATGTATATTTTATCTCACCACCAAAACGTTATACAATTGATCATAACAATGTACACAGTATTATGTGCTTATAAAATATGTGTACCCATGCCTGCATAGCTGATTTTTTACGTCAAAATGATATAGGTATTTATATTGCTATAAAAGTAATTTGTTCACAATTAGTAATTCAGTTGGTTGAATTGATGTTTGCATAAAACATTGCATTTACAAATGTATCTGTGTGTTTATAATCTAATCAAATACATAAAAAGTTCTAAGAACCCACGAATAATATTTGAAACTACAACAAAATAATTAAAATCGTTTTTCTTTATTTTTTTTTTACGAAAATTAGAGTCAATATTTGAAGATTTTAAAATTTCTATATTTATTTTTTACTTTCAACTTCCCACAGCATAAGCTAGAACGGATTTTGAACTGAAAAATACTTTCAAAGTTGAAAATTAAAGCATTTTTAATGCCTCTAAAGGCTAAAAGTGATAAAGATGGCTGATAAAACACCGTCCATTGTTGTAAAATTAATACATTCATCGCTCCACCCAGAATCTAATGCGGAAAATTCCTGAAGTTTAATTTTCTCTTATTTATAAAAAAAAAAAACAAAATAATTTGGAATTAGAGTATAATATAATGTCTATATAAAAGAGGCGAAAGTAAACATGATAATCCTATCAATGTAAATCGTTCTTGGAAACGGGTACTAACAATTCGGTTGAGGGTTGGCATAATTATTTTAATTCAATGTTGAGTGGTTATCGAAAAATGGACTATGACACTTTAATAAATATCCCACCACTATCTCATTTTTTAATTGATCATTTGGATGGAACATTGTCACATTTCTACTGCGATAAAGTACCACGATATTATGAGGTGGGTTCATTTAATGTGAAGATGTATTAAGGAGGCGATTATCGTAAAATGTTCAATCACCATTTTATTGAAATTCGAGTGGTTATCGAAAAAAGAAGTATGACACTATAATAAATATCTCACCGCTATATGTCTATATTATTTTTAAATTGATCATTTGTACGCCACATTGCCACACATTAATCATTCTATTATTAATTTATTACACATTACAATTTTAACAACGTATAAAATATTATATTGTGTCTACGCCGGTTATAAGGGTGTATTTATATAGTAGATAGTATGTGACTATGTGAGTAATCACTAACACCTATATAAAATAATAGGTAAATAATATAAAATAATATGTCTATGTCCTAGACTATATTGAAACCAACCACTATAAGTAAATCAGTAAGTAGGATTTGAAAATTTGAATTATTATTCAACAAATTAATTCGAATTTGAAAATTTATCTCTGTCCGAATATACACAGTTATTGGAAATAAATAATTTAACTTTTTCATTTTTTTCAAATGTTTCTTATCTTAAAATTACAGTAATAGACGAATAGCTACTTAAATAAGGTTTAGATACCTATAATGAAAAGGGCTGTGATACGATTGCGCGCTATCCTTGACGGCGGTATCTTTTAGTCACGAACGATCGCGAGTATAGTTACAATCTTTAATTTATACTTAATTTGTTACAGACATATAATGTGGTTCATAAATAGATTAAAATTAAAAATTAAAAAAAAATGTTGGATCAATTTTAAGAAACTTTACTAAAGATTTGAAATTAGTTTTAAGCACTTTTCGCTGTGACAAAAATTGTTCGGCTACCGTGACTTCACTAAAGTGAACATGATAGATACTTACAAACATAATATGCCTGATTTAATGATAACCATCAGTTGTCGTATTACTGCAATAATTATTCGATAAAATTGAACCAAAATACAATTTCTGTGATTTAATTGAAAAAGTATAAAATCATAGACTTAAATAAGTTAAAAGTTATGTACATCTCACAAACGGAACGTGGTCTGAGTTATATAACTTTTTAGCATGGATGAAAAATCGGGTAAAGTTTACATTACATCGTTTATGCATAAATAAAAATTCGTACTAGGTTTAAAAAAAAAAGTCTATTTAGTCGCCGTTTACGTATCGTCGTTTGCGTCGTCACGCATTATATTATGTTTACTCCTAAACGTGCAACGTTGCCAAATATATAGGTGCACGGTAAATATCATAGCCCATACTGATAATAAACTGTTTTCTGATAATGTTTAAGAGACGTATATTGACATGGTTTTTAATTGTTTGATATCCATAATTGAAATAACATTTATTTTTTATTGTAACATTCTTGTAAAGACGTAAAGTATTTGAGTGAAGTGTATGTATTTTAATTTTTAATACTTTCCGAATGGATGTATTTGCATCTGTATTTAAATATTAAAAATAATTATGAAATAACTGAAATGTGCATAAAAAAATATTTGCAATTTCGCATCCAATTTCACGTGTAATCGTACGCCGCCTTTCGGTAGGTAGTCAAAATCATGTTCAGTGTAGGTAATTCCGTCACAGCGCGCAATCTTATACCCAAGAAGATACAACGCGCTTAAGAAGACATGATACCTGCATGTGTTGTCTCTGTCTTACAAGTGCGTAACATAGCAAATTTTACGCTCAGCAGAACACGTGTAGCTCCGTCAGTGTAAAAATTAGTGCAAATTGACCTCTTATAAAATCTAAAGGTAAGATTATTATCTAGGGAACCTCATAGGTTTTTTATTATATTTTAATTTTAAAGCGAGTTATGAGTATTCTAAAATTGTAAATTTTTTATACATATTAAAATACTTATAACTCGCGTTAAAATAAAAATATAATAAGAAGCCTATGAGGTTAATAATCTTACCTTTAGATTTTATAAGAGGTCAGTTCAGTTTAATTTTTAAATTAACGGAGCTACACGTGTTTTGCCGAGTGTACAATTTGCTATGTTACGCACTTGTAAGACGGAGATAACACATGCGGGCATCACGTCCTCTTAAACGTATTCCGCCGATAAAAAGGTATTGGTTGATTGAACTGTCCGTTTCTGTAAGTTGGTACACATAGGTAATAGATAATAAACTTTATTGTTAGTTGGCTGTCGTATTGAAATAATTGTTCAGGATAAATCCGCCCCGTGGACAAAAACAGTCAGTTTTTAAATTGTGAGTATGAAAAATACATATTCACGAACTGTGAATATTTTAATATTATGGTCTATGATAGAACTGTATATGTAGGCAATGTATATAATTCGTGTATGGAATTAAGGCTACATTAAAGTTGAGTCTGGTTAGAAGACAAGTAGTACCTAAGTCTATTATTGTTATTTTTGTTATTATTGTATAATATTTTGTTATCTATACATATAAAATCCAAATACCACTTAGTCATTGATCGCTGTAACTCATAAACTACGTAACGTACGAACTTGAAATTTGCAATAGAAGTTCTTCTCATATTTTCATCGTGCAAAAAGAAAGGATTTTCAAAAATGTTGCTTTTTAGTGGAGTAATTAACAATTATAATTATTCATCGCCTATACGTATTATGCTGCACGGCACGGGCTCATGGCGGCCCGCGGGTATTCAGCTACCTGCAACCTATTCATTTTGTACGTCGTGTAGATAAGAATTTTTTCTGAGGAGTTATAGGGATATATTGTAAATATAAAAAAAAATCAACTACACATGGGCGAAGCCGGGTAGTTCAGCTAGTTATTGTATAAAATCTTTCGGTTTTCATGATAGTCTAATTTAATCAGTGAATGTAGTCTTATATCTTATCGGCACAACGACCATTATTAAATTCGACTTATTTTAGTTAGTTCGTATATTAACGTTCAGACCGTTCAGTGTGCCGTTTCGTGTTATTCACTAGTCATTACTGATATTCTCTAGTTAAATTTTATTTAAAATGTCTCAATTCGATGTAACCGAAAACAAAGTGTTAAGTGAAAAAAGAAAAATTAAATGTTGAATAATGAATATACAACTTCGTTTTCATAAAACACTCGCTAATAATAATGACTGATATTGGCGGTATACCACTGTAATGAAAATGTTGTTGATAGTTTTTTAAATCATTATCATGAATAACGCGAACTCAATATTTTAAATACACAAAAATGTCAAAAGCGTAAGGTAAAACCTGTGAAAAACCATTAAAAACATTGCTCAAACATTTAATGCAAGGTGTCGTCATATCCCTTACACTTAACACTTAATTTTACTCTGATAGGTATGTACAAATATTTTTGAAGCTCGGTCTCCTACAACTTACAAGACCCACTTTACTAAACAAATGAAGTACTCTTTAGATGTAGTAACTTATTACTACTAATAAAAACATTTTTTATTATTATAAACTAATATTGTTATATTTACTTCCGAATATAAATAAAAATAACTTTGTAGGGTTTGACATTTATTATTTTTACTGACGGTACTTTTCGTAGTTGTCAAAAACAGTTCAATCAAGTTTTTACAATAATTCATGCTACAAAGAACAATAAGTGTATAGTATAAACTGGAGTTTTTTTGTTTGTTGCCAAATTAGAAAAAAAAACTTATGAACAAGCTTCACATAAATTATCGTTTAAGCGCAACATTTTAAAATTGACGTTATGTTAAAAATGCCGAAATGAAAAACTTGAAACACGAAGTATAAAAATATCTACCTATTTAAAATAATAATAACATCTGGTTAACCCTGGACGCACCGTAATTATTGTGATGTTAAATATAAATAAAACGGCCATAACCATAAACACGGAGGTCGATGCACTTACTTCTAGAGCTATATAATTGAAAACCATACCTGCTCACCTGCATTTAGTTTCGAATTTTCTGCCGCCAAACGTTTGTGATAAGTGTATAGTTTATGTTGTACTTAGAAATAATAGTTTATCAAGTGCGTGATACATTGTTCGTGGAGTTTTTACTTTTTTCACAAAAATCAAAATATATTTATAACTGCAATACTTATTGTTGGTAGTTTTATTGTAGTATCACATTATCATTTATTAATAGTGAATAATTGAAAAGTGAGCGCAACGCTAATACGCGCCTAAACGTGTTACAAATATTCACGCGCTTACTTACGGGTTAAATAATACGTCAAGGCAAAACGTATACGATTATCCGAAGCTGAATATTGAAAACAAAAATAAAACATACATATAGGTCATACAGTATGATAGGAATCCTCTATAATGAGTATTATAATCTTATCCAAGTAGATAATCAAAAGTATTGTACAGACTTAAATATAAAAATATTTTGTTAGGAATAAAACATGCTTCGACTAAATCAAGTTAGATTTCGCGTGATTCGAAAAATAATAAATATTTAGTTTAATATTAATTGATTTTATTACAGATTGATCGTGAGTAAAATGGAACTATATGTGATACTGAGAGCCATGGCAGCAATAATGTTAATAGTGGTAAACTTAACTACACAGTCTTTTGCGAAAAGTAAGAATTGTATGCTAAGAAAACAAAATGCATTTCACTATTATAGTTATAGTAGTTTTTTCAGAAAATAGAGTATTTACAAAAGTTAGGCTCCCCACTTTTTTAGTTTTTTTAAAATTATTGTAGCTAAACATTTTTTTCTAGATTAAAAAAGTTGAAAATTTAATACGAGGTTCCTCAGAAGTTATTATTGTGGAAATTAAATAAAAAATCGAGCTCAAATCTACAATAATGTTTTATGAGCATCTGAAGTTAGAATTTTGACAGAATTCATTAAAATTACGAATGTATACAAATTATTTTGAGTTAAGAAGTTTTTAAAAGTCAAACTAATTGTTTATGAGCTTTCGAAGTTCAAATTTATACAACATTGGATATTCGCCCGTAAAAAACAATTAATCATAGAATGATTTTGAATTTTCTTATATATAATTTTAATTCAAAAACAATCAACTATAGATACTATTGAACTTTCACCAAATATTTATTTTATCATTATCTTTACATGTACATATATCCTTACATTTATAGGTATAACAATTTTTAATATCGACCGAAAATACTTCGCTTTGTTAAAAAGCTTGGAAATTTAATACAGGAATCCCCAAAAGTTATTATAATATCAGTTAAACATTATATTATAGATATTTTGAATATATTTTTATAAGCATTTCAAGTTCAAATTTTTACAAAAATCGTCAAATTCATGAAAATGTCAAGTGATTTTGCAGTTGAAAAAGTATAAAATGTTCACAGTTTTCTAGAGTATAGGCCTACCTATGTGCCTATCAGTGCGGTATATAGGGGAGGTACTGGTAAAAATCCTCATCCAAATTGTTTTCATTTTAAATGGTGTGATAAAGTAACAGCTGACAAGTATTCTAGTTCTAGAATGGGTATAAGAATGGGTATTCACTTGTATGGTAATGTTTAATATTGATCATATTTGAATTCAAGTTTCCCCAATAGACATTATTTCTTGCAATTTATTGGTTTCGCGATAATAATATAATGGTGATATTTAGTCAATTTACCGAAATCGATAAAATCAAGTATTTGGTCAAAAAGTTTGAAGATAAAATAATTGATATGTTAGGTAGGTACACAAAATTAAAGTTAAACAGTATTGTTCTTTCATTAATACAATTTTATTTAAATCTATAAATAAAACGTCTATATAAGAGTTATTAGGTTAAATATGTTATAATAATTAATTAACTTATACTAATAAATAGAAATTAGATATTATTAATTTATACAGAGTGAACCCGGAAATCTGTCACCAAACATAACTTTTTGTATCAATATAACTACGTTAAACGGTTACCTTTATAAAATCCGGACATTTTTCAAATCCGGACGCCAATCCGGACGGGTGTTTGAAACCCGGACTGTCCGGACGAAATCCGGACGTATGGTAACCCTATCTATTGGTATTAATATTCGTAAGCTATCATTTTCGGGGGTCTAGGACATCTCGCCGCCACCGTTTCGTCAACGACATTTCTCGAGTTAAATTTACCACCACAACTCGTACCAGAATATACCAGAGATCCAGCAGTGACACCATCAATAAGAAATAATTTACAGTGATGCCTTGTTAGCGGCACTCGTCGCTACGCTCCTCGGCGCCGTCGCTCCGCTCCGCAAATCGAAAATATCCCTCGACTTGCTATGCAACACCACCTAAAGTTGGTCACAGTTTAACCGCTGTTATACCATAGAACAACCACTCTTATCATTCAAAAGCTTATCACTATCGAAACGGTGGCGGCGAACCGGTGGCGGCGAGATGTCCGTCGGCGAAACGGTGGCGGCGAGAAGAGTAGGTTTGCATTTTCGGTTTTCTTTCCTACTACTTTCTACAATAGTGATTATAGAATAGTAACTCTTATATTTTTTAGCTTAAATATGATTTTAAAAAGTTAACTATAGTTGAAGTATCAAAAATTCTACAAATTTTATTATTTATGCGACATTACGAGAAATAGGTTCAAAATAATACGTTATGACTTATGAAATAACATTTTTATAAAATAATGACACTATATTGGATATTGTATTAGGAAAATAAATCTTAAGTTATTAGTTATTACTTATTACGTATTACTAATATAAGTGGTAGGTAATATATAAATACAGTTTTAATCTATTTATGTTTTGATAATTAATAATAAACTTTTTCTAAATAATGTATTATATTTCTGTCTGACTTTTGTCTGTTTGTACTTATTTTCCTTGAATATTTTTTTTACCGGACTTTTTTACCGTTTACCTTTTTATTGCAATCGTTAGAATGTGTAAAAAAAACTGTAAAATTTATTATTTTCGTTTAGCTAATGTATAATAAATTATTGTTGTAGTTCCTAAACGACCTCCCAATATAGATATTGGAAGCTTTGAATGCATACCATCGTCTGTCAACGATATCACAAGAGACGTGATCGTATATTGGCAAACTATTGATGACAACGAGAAACACAGTATTGATGAATTGTTTGAGTACCGCGCTTACTACACGTCCATGGCAGATAACAATACCATGTCAGTACCATCCTTAATCCTAACGTGACTTCTTTACTTTTCCATTTATGATTAATATTTGACTTCATTAATGATTTTAACGTTTAAATTGTCCGTAAACACAGTATTTACCATCCATGCGATAATATATTTGCCAACCATGCCACGTTTGTCGGACTGGAATTAAATACTGGATACAACATCAGAGTGTACTCGGCAAATAAACATGGTTTATCGGAAAAATACGCTAGTATATATGTACCCGGTTTACAGAGCAGTAAGTATATTAACTTAATGTAGGTTTATTATTATTTTTGTATAATATATATACTTAAATAGGGTTCGAATCGTAAAAAATAAAGTAGAAGAGCTCAATCCAAGGATTTAAAAACTGCAGCATGCAAAATTATTTAAGAAAAACACGTTAGGAGCTTCGCCCTCACGCCCCCATCAATTTATTAAGTATTTAAATGCTACATTTCCACTGCATTGGTAGGAACATATAAATCAAAATATAAAATCCATGTAAATGTTGATTTATGTTCACCTAAATTCAACTAACGCATAACAATATTACATGCATTTAGATGTCACTTTATAAAGTAATTTTTTTATGTACGATTACAATTTCGATTTTGATAGCCTATGTAGAAAAAAAAATAACTCAACATTTTTAATCTAGGTACATACTTAACCAACAGTTTATTAATAATTCTTGTTTTTGATTCAAAACAAACCTAAAAAAAAAATGTTAATTAAAAAACATTTAAATACGATTTTAAAAATGTGATAACTTAAACTGATGAAATAATTCTATCTATTAGGTAGATATCATAGACAACTACATACTCGTAAATTCACGTTTGAAGAAAAAAAATAATTCGATTATTAGCTTTAGCTAGGTATTCCCAAATACAAATATCTAGAGTACATATATAGACACTCACAATATTAACCGCATATATATTAAGAAATATGAATATTTATTAAGATCAAATTAATATTTTATTTTATAATCTCTCACGTATCAATAAGATAGCTTTAATAAAATACATAATTTACTATAAAATGCCAATCCTATAATATTAATATTTCAAGTACCTACCAAATTATGTGATAATTGTTTCAAGTAACAAAAAACAATATTTTATTGTAAATAACAGAGATTCATTCTGTATTATATTAAAAAAACAAAATTACAACTTTAACACAGAATAATCAGCATATTTTCCTTACTTTAAAAAATGTAGTACAATATTGTATTTTAATTACAATATATTCAAATTTCACAAATTGAAAAAAATGTATTATTAAATTAAAATTAATTAATAAACCAAATAAAGTAAAAACAAATGTTTGATTAAAAATTATAATAATATCATAATAACGTCCCTTTTCTCACCAAATCGGCACCCCCTCACCACACTAATTCGAGCGCTGTACAATCATAATATTTTAAGTTGTGTTAATTTATTATTTATATAATATTTTAATGTGATGACTGTTACCCACAGAAGATAATACTGTATCATTATCGCTGAGAAAAGTTAAAAAATATAGCGATCAAGGTATTTATGAGCTGTCGTGGAAAATTTATGACAGCCAGAATCTGTTTTCCACGAATCAACTGAACTACTTCACACTGTATTGGTGTGAAAACAAAATGATCTATCCTAACCAGTGCAACGTACGTACATACTTATATTATCACCAGAAAAATTTGATTTTAGCCTTTAAATCATTATATAATATTTTTCTGATTTAAGTTTGAATTAATTTTTTAAGGGCTTTATGGACTGGATACATGTACCAAGTAGAGAGTCTCGCTTTACTATTACCGTGCCGGATAGTTGGAAAGAATATCAATTTGCGATAAGCGCCAATAGCGAAACTTTGCAAAAGAGCAGTGCCACTGGAAATAGAGCATATAAATTCAAATCGGTTAGTAGTGGATTGGTGTGGGAGACGTGTACAACATTGCATTTATCGAGTATGTAAAACAGTAATTTATTAAAAACGATAATTATTTTTTCATTTGTTGATATTGATTATATATTATAATATGTTTTCTATTTGTACGTGATTAGAAACTAGCAAAGTTAAAAGCTTTTGGACCAGTGAGGTTGGAAGCACATACATTGCTTTGAGGTGGAAATTTGACTGTTCGGAAGAAGTAGATTTCATTCGCGACTTTCACGTATTTTATTGCCCAGTAGATCCCGTGGACAATTATTCATGCTTAAGTAAGACATTAATACTTTTTAAAATATCCTTCTGTAATAATAGGTACGAAACCTAAGTCTTATTTAGTATCAGTAATTTGTATACAGCACTGGTAACTAATTAAAGTAGATAGACATCTATTTATGCATAAATATAATTTTTTTAATTGTTACCTAGGTACTATTCGATATAAAAACTTAATGAATATATTGGTATTGGTATATTAGTATATTGGGGTTACATTATGATGTATTATTTAAATTCTGAAAACACTTTTTGGTGTAGAAAGAATAATTTAATTTTTAACTGTTGAGTTTGTCACTGAATTTAGGCGGTACTTTGGGGGAGTCAACAGAAAAAATGTCTAGTATGTACTTTTTTGAGTATCTACATTTATTTTTGAATTAAGTCTATTTTAAAAAAAAATATAGACCGTAAAAAATTGAAACATTCCACTAAATTATCATTTTTTATGTAGAATGACATTTTAAAAATATTCCGATAAAATTAAACAATCAATTACTATTTAAAGGTATTCTCAAAATGGTTTTTCTTCTTAGAAAATGTTACGCTTTAAATGTTAATCCAAGGTTCCTTCAGTTTCTTTTAAGTTCTACTTACAGAAATACAAAAATATCTAAAATACATGATATGTACAATTTTTTTTTAGACATTTCAATTTAAAATGTTGTCAAAATTGTACATTATTTAAAAGAAAAATAACAAATTTTATTTTTCAATTGCAATTTAAAAATAAAACTATTCCCAGGGACTTTTTGCCATTCAATTTATTATTATTTACTACACTTACATTATATACACAGTACATACATAGATATTTAGGAGTTATTCATACCACAAACCTAAATACAGATACAATGACTTATCATTTCCTTTAAAGCTTACATTTAACATTATAGTGGCCAGTGACCTACTCAATGACGAGGAACACTCTGGGCTGACTTGCTGGTATACTACACCAGTGGTCTTCAACATTTTGGACTCGCCACTCACTTTTTTAGGCCTACATTTTTCGCCACCTACTTACGCTTTGTAGAAACAATAAAAAAATAAAAAAATTATTTTATACACTGTGATTTGATATCCACTATACTATAGATTAACTGTATTTTCATTTATTTGACATATATTTCATTTATTAAATTAATTTTATATTTTAAAAAGAAGACTTATCGTGACCCACCGGTCGAAGACCACTGTGCTAGAGTGCTGTTGTAATAGAGTTGCACACCAGCCCGGCTAAATATATATGTACCATGCGCGATGGGCCGCCTGCATCATATTACTAATAGATGTACTTTAATGCCAAAAAGTTTTAACCCATGATCAATTTAAAAAAAAATAAAAATAACTAATAATAAATATAATAATAATAATATGTAGTTATTGGTATTATAGGTATAACGTATGTATTTTAAATGTAATAATCAAGACGTACAAGTGCGTATTATATGTATATTAGAAAAACTCCTCGAAAAATTAGATATCTACTAAACAAAAATATTTTTGTAAAATCAATAAACAAAAGCCTGGAATAAAATAATTGATATTACCTGAACCGGTCAACCCCTCCCTTGTCTTGATACCTTCATCTAAACGACAGACTGAATTCTCTCGTTTTTTTTCGTATTTTAAATAAAATTTATTTTATTTTTCAGAACCTCCAGCGTACCAGTTTGTTGAAAGCTATATGAAACAATACCAAACGCCCTTTGCTTTCATACTGAGCTTGAAGCCCTCCACCGTGTACAAGATATCCATTGTAATATATACATTAAACGGTAGAACCATTGAAACTGAATCTGTTACTATGGCTACACTTCCAAACACCGAGTGAAAACTAATATTAGGGCTTTTAATTTAATTTAATAATTTTAGATATCATTATCCGTTACTTGTTAGTAACGAAATAATTATCTTGGTAGTTATATATGACTAGAAAATTTTCGGTACTCTGCTTGTTAGTTAAGAATGTATATTGTTAAAATTTGTATTTTGATACGAATTACAATTATTATAAGCAGTTAAATTATAATATCGAATCTGATGTATGATTATTTATTACAAACTGTAATTATATATAGCTATATGAACAGCAGAATCACTTTATGACTGTGACTTGTGAGACTGTATAATATATTATAATAAGTTTTAAGTTTTAAACATACAGTATTTTCGTACATATATAAACCTATAATTATTTCTTAAGGACTTCCAGTACATAGATAGATTGTGTTTACTTTTGGTTTTATACTTTTATATATAAATATAATAACTATTCGATATTACTTTTCAACAATTGCTTCAATTAATATAAATAACGTTAACATTTTCGTAAATAAAATGTACACAATTGACCTTTGTAATTTTTAATATAAAATGCAAATTTCTAATTTTTGCACCTTCTCAGGAATTGCACGTAGGCACCTCTCGCCCCTCCTGCTGCTGTCCTAACTATTATTATAGTATTTTTTAAATTATGATCTAAAGTCAGGGCTTGAAAACGATATTGGATATCTACTGATTTTGAATACCTGTTAAAACCATTAAAAACCGAAATCGATTTTAAAACTGAAAATGAAATTTAAAAAAAATGAATACTGGAAAAAATAAATACCAACATCCAAAACAGAAACTGAAATAGAAAAAACAATTTTCGGCTTCAAACCCTGCCTATAGTCCAGCCTGTAGTAATAATAGTATTAGTAGTAGAAGTAGTAGTATTAGTACTTAGTAGTAAGAGTGTATTATTAGTTGTTAGTACCATAATAAATATTAATTATTATCACTACATAATTGTCATATTTATTTTAATTATCTTATTATGATCATCGTTTATATTATGATTGATATAATATAACGTCTCGCACAATAGAATATCCAGATTCGACGTGGAGCGTAGGTACGTTGACGAGGCTACAGCCTATTTGCGCCCCAGAGTAGTACATTTGCACCCCGAGGGATATGGACAGATGCGCCCGAAAGATAAGGTACTACCTGCCGATTTATAGCCCATATGCGCCCATTTCGTATGCAACGTTGCCGTTGTGATTCATATTATTATAGATTATATTTATCTTGATAAATAACTTAAATTATTTAGATTACCTAGTAGATTATATTATAATCTACTAATTGTGCAGTTATTATTTATTTTATTATTATTTACTGTAGTAATAATTCATCTCACATAAAATTATATAAATAAAATAAATATTTCAAATTAAAAAAAAAAAAAATTTCGGAAAATATAATATAAGGTTGAGTACATGCAATTATTATAAAAATTAATACTGTTGATTTTTCTCACACGTCATATATAATAATAAAAAATATTTTATCATAAGTTAAACCTTAAGGTAATATAATAATAAGTTTATATTTATATTTCAAAAATGTTAAAAAAAAATTAAATAAAAATGAATAATGTTGATTTTTTCACATGTCATACAAGGTATGTCTCATATATGGTAATAAGTAGTGTTGCTTGGTATTCCAGAATACAGTTTGGCAACGTTGCACGGGTTTAACACATTTTCATTAAAAATATTTCGGGCGCAAATGGGTTATAAAAAAGGTGTGATGGGCGCAAATGGTTTGCACCGGTTGACGAAACTTGGTTTTAAGGTCACCCCAACCTACAGGCGAGATTCGGAAATCAGAGCATGTGAGATTTGTGTAACAAAAAAGGAAAATAGGGAAGAACAACTGACACTTATAATAATGACAATAATAATTAATTTATGGCCAAGAAAAGCTCACACGACAAAAACTTTGCCGCCAAAAGAGGGTCACCTTAAGAAAAAACAACACACAATAACGATAAAATGTATACATACACATGACACATAAAGTAGTTATGGTATTACATATTTGGTATATTATTTTTTTGCTTTTTGAACGATTCTCCTATCACTTAAATGGTTCTGATTTTAACACTTAGACAGTTAGGTAAACGTGCTCTATGAAGGTAAATATATAATATATATTGTTTGATATTGTTGTATGTATTAATAATAACAATTAATATCATAATCCCATATAGTTTTATTTCTAAAATCTAAAATGAGTTCCCATTTTAAAAAACAACAATCAACCAGCACTCTTAATAACTGTCATTGATTTCAGACTTCAATTGACTTTGTGGTGACAGTTCTGTACAGTGAACTATTCTCTATTGTATTAAATTTAGTTTAGTTTATTCAAATTACATTTTTCGATGTGTTTCTATTCATTTGTTGATATGGACAAATTTCATAAAAATAGTGATTTGTGGTTGAGCCAAATATATAATATACTCCTATTTTATTTTAGCCCTCCCCCTTGTCATAATTCCTATTCTCTCGAAAAACGGTAGCTACATTAATACATTTAAATTTAAAGTATCGTTTTATTTTTTAATTTAAACTATATAATATCATTTATATGTGATGAGTATGTGCCTCTGTGTAGCTGTCAATAAAGTAAACACAAAAATAGGCTACACCCAGAAGAATAGACTCACTGTTTTATTTTTGTAATATTAATGTCTAAACGGTGATGTGCAAACGGTGATGACGAGTGATGACCGGAAGATGATCGCTGTCTGCGCCGAGTCACTCCTACTTTGGATTCACGGTTAGCGGCAACGACTTGAGGGATGTTAGGGACGGGGAAAGGTTACCCAGCTCTATATAATGCCTAATACAAATATTATAATATCCAACTTATGGGCATAGTGCGAACTATATATATTATGCACAAAAAATACAATAATAATAATAATAAATTAATAAATGACTAACTCCAAACATGTGAGTTTGTCTACGTAAATCAAACATAAAATAATAATGAATTAACCTGGTCTGCAAGCTCTGGAGGACGGCGTTGGCTCCACTCTGGTAAGGTGACAGCGTCTTTTCCCTTCTCGACAAACACCGGTATAATAATTGGTACATGAGCATCACAAGCAAAATAAATTAAGCTGGACGGTTGTCTGATATCAGCACTTAATAGTCGTGCACTATTACGGCGAAACACGTCAGGCCCCATCTACCTCGGGACTTACGACAGTTGCCGCTTAAAATTGGCACAAGACGGCACACGTTTGCTACACCCAGAATTTCGTGATCACATGATGTTGTGGCGGTGGCGGCGGTGAGCAGACGCGACGTTGCGTCAAGCTCGACCGCTGGAAAAAGACAACAAAAGACAAAACGGACGCCGGTGGCACTACCTGCAGCAAGTACGCAATGGTGAACATCCCCGGCGCTTGACGACAGCGGAGGGGGTAAACCACCTCGCAAGTGTATTGCGTCTGATGCACCACTGGGAGGAAGTATGACGAAACGTCGGTGGCGTGAAAACGCGTCCGTGTTTGAACATACTCCCCCCTTGAGGCTTTGCATCACTTGGCGCTGACGGAGAATTGAATGCATTATGTAAATCCGTATGAAGATCTGAATAAGATGGATGATCAGCTGCTGGTCACCAAATATCATATCGAGACAGTAATATTAAATAGATCATTTGTTATTTATAAATATATACCATTTTAATAAATGAAAATATCAGGACACTAATATAATAGCTTGTAATTAAAAAATAAACAAATTACGATAAGATGGTTCAGGAACAAATCATTTTATAAATACAAAAACAAATACATAGTAATAATACATGAAGTACAAAAAATAGTAAAATCATACAGTGAGGGCTCCCCCCCCGTCCCAACACCCAGCCAGTGCCAATGTATGTAACACTTCTGAGCGTGCAACACGTTAAATAATTAACAGACGTGTTGGGTCGGTAAGCTGGATGCGTCGTGTCAGGGAGCACAATGCTTACAGGTGTCACAAAAGGACGCGACAACATAACATTTTCAAGTGTTTCAAGTGTTTGGTGGGTAATAATGCCACCGTTGACATATTGCACCATACATTACTTTCCGGCGGACAATTATTTGCCACACTTCGTACATAGCTATCGGGCCTATCCCCGGTCCCGCAGACGTGGAACTAATCGAAGTACTCTTGGCTTAAATATACAAGGTTATTGCACATAGCCAAATTGTTATCAAATAAAAATAAAATGGCAGCGTAAGGGTACGGTTCATATCATAGCATATAATATCATAATATATCCAGTATACGTCGTCCCCTTACGCTGCCATTTTAATTCCTTAACGGGATAAAATGATATAGTGGGGGTGCTATTGCAATAACCTTGTATATTTAAGCTATGAAAGTACTTATATTATACGATTTGGCGGGGCACAACAACCGGTGCAATCGACGACCAAGGTGCCGTGCGACACAAGAAACCGACGCTACGTAGGTACATGGTATACGTGGACGTGACAGAGAGTCGCGGTCGACTACCCCCGTCGAAAACGATGTACGGAAATAAGTTACTTACAGGTATACTCAAGCTCCGCAAACTGCAACGAGGACCAACGAGTCACAATTACGTAGACAACAAGCGGCTGTCGTCGGTACGGCTCATATGATCCACAGTGCGCGACATGTGGTGACAATTACAGGTGCGCATAAACAAATCGTTTATCACCGCGACTAAAAACATTTTTTTTTACCGATTCGTGAGGACCAATTACCCAAAACACGATAATTCTCATGCCTACCTGAGGGCGTAATAAGGACAGCGACCGCGAGTATCGAAGACGGCGGCGCACATCGACATCGACGAACACTCAAAACGACAGCGGTCCTTATTATTTTGACAAAACATTGGCGGCTCACGGTACACTGCGGAGTGGGGTGGGAGTACCGGCGGCGGCGATGATGGCGGTGCACATATGAATTTTAACACGGAAATCGAACACAGGTCAATGACCACTCATGGGCTCCACCAGGGTTGCCAGATTGGGCGGTTTCTCGCCAAATGGGCTATTTAAGAAGTCAATAAACCGCCTAAAAGTACTTTTGGGCGTCTATACGCCAATTGGGCTATATGCCAGTAAATTAATGGCTATAGTGGGCTACATAAATTAAAAACAAAATATTGAAATTATAGTATTTTTATGCAGAAATACAAAATAAAAAAAAAAATTTTTTATATCAGATAAGAATTATAGAAATTAGTGATATACTGATATCCATAGATAATATATTATCTATGCTGATATCTCAGTATTATCATAGAAACGACACTCCATCAAACGATCCCGTATCATGGTCGTACACCAACATGATGTTAGACCCGGCTTGTTTACTCGTTGGTAGTTTGATACATTTGAATTTGGTATTTTTCTATTTTTAGGTAGGTATATTTTTGTTTGTAATCATGCATACAATGACTAAACATATTTTACTATATATATTTTGTCATTAGTATTTTTTATAGTATAATAACTAATAACATAATAATGGGAAAATATGGTAAATATAAACGCAAGTATTGTGTGGATTGGGAAGTTAAACCGGAATTCAAAGGTAAATATTAATTACTTATCTAGACTTTATTTATATTTTAATAATTTAATTACCCAAATACATATTTTGTTTTTATAGGGTGGTTACAAAAAGCTTCAGAAAGCCAATGTAACGAAAATGATCTTAAGGAAGCATATTGTTCGAAGTGTAAAGTTGTGTTGCGAGCACATCATGGAGATTTAATTAGTCATTCTAAAACAGCAAAACATGTAGGAAAAATGAAAAGTTTGATAGTCGAAAAACAACCGCAACTGCAATCTTTTGGTACACATACGTATATTCATATTATAAATATATATATACATATAAATATAAAT